GCTGGTCTAAAACAGCCTGATCTCATTTGTTTACACAGAAATGTGGAAAAAAGTGAAAATTGGTGGATTTTAGAGGAAGTTGAAGTTCAGCTTCCTGAAGTCTCATCAGCGTGAACAGCTGGCAGGTTTGACCGGCGAGCCTAAACAGAAACCAACAGCTGGCGCTCGCTCGTCCCTCGGAAACCACAAAGAAACGCGGCTTTTAATTTTGGGTCAAACCAAAACACTCGCGCTCCTCGCTGGTTTTCACTCGCCGCCCTCGCGCTCTCCTTGGTGCTGCGCCTGCGTCATGTTTGCGTTTCTCACCTGGGTAATTCTGCATCATGACCGAGGGCATGCCTCTGTACCCGGGGTGGCTCGGCTCGTAGCCCTGGCTGTAGGCGTACGGTCCGTGCATGTAGGGCACGTAGCCCTGATGCTGGGCCAGCGGCGAGGGGAATTGCATGTGAGGCGGGCGCGCTTCCTTCCCGCCCCCGCGGAGCTCCTCGGGGGGCAGCTGTGTCCTACCCTCCGCCGCCTCCTTCGCCGCCTCGTCTTTCTCCTTGGGCCGCGGCCTCTCTTCCTTCACCTTCCTGTCCCGCTCGTCCTTCCACCTGTCGTCCTCCTGGAGTTTCGGCGCCTCCGAGTATTTGCTGGGGTAGACGTAGGACCACAGACGTGCGTCGGGCTCCTGCAGAGAGGGAGAAACCGTCATCAGCATCAAACTAACCTCAACCAATCTGAAAACACAAGCGAGGAGGAAAGTGCCGCGACACCTGTACCTGTCTGTACCACATGGCGGCTTCGACGCTCGCCGCTCGGCCCGACTCCACCCCCGACTTTGGCTCTTCTTTCCCGTGATGCCCTCCTTCACTCAGCTTGATCTTCAAACCCTCGGGCTGGGCGCCGGGCGCCTTGGAGTCCTCTCCCTTCGCCATGATGACCGACTTGGCCTGTTCCGAAGCCGTGGCGGGCTCTTTGGGCTTCGCTGGGTTCACGCCTCCCCTGGCGCCCAGATCCGTGAGGCTGGGCGCCCTTGACAGAGTGGGCGGTACCGATGCCTTCTGCTTCCACTCTTCTTTCACGGAAGCCTCGCGCTCTTTGCTCTCCGCCTTCTTGTCGGCGTGGCGCTGTCGCTGCTCCTCGTACTGTTGACGGTAGGCGGGGTTAGAGGCCAAGAGGTGGGCGTGGTAGGCCTGCTCGTGGGAGTAGGAGTAGGGAGGGACGTAGTACTGGTTGTAGTAGAGCGGCTGGGTGTACATGTTGGAGCGCTGCTGGATGACCGATGGCTGC